TGCAAAGCAGCATAACGGTCAAAAAATAAGACACACGCGTACGTACATAAAAGAAGGTAGCAGTAACACATGTCTCCTTTATTTGATGAATATAAATATATAACCAAAATTTTTTGCCGAAAGTTAATTCTTCGTTTGAAAAAAACTATATATATAAATATATATATTATATATACTATGTGTCAAAAGATTCTGTCAAAGCTGTCAAAATTGTTTACAAAAGTCAACAATGGACAACAGAATTTTAGTGTATGACAATAAATGAAGATTAAACAGTTATAAGACAATATAAAAGGTTATAATGATGTAAGTGTGACAAACATAATAGGTATGTAAGCGTAATGAAATTTAACAAACTGGGATAATATCGAGGCGAAGATTATAATTGATATAATTTTAGATGAAATGAATGAAAACATTTACTGCGGACATCTGGGCACAATTGGTGCATACATAATAATTTCAAAATGGGATATATTGAAAAATAGAATCGTAAATATGCTCGTTTAAAGAATCTTTATAGCGAGAAATCTTATCAGATATGGGAAACATGCATCAGAAAAAAATTCGCCAAAGGTTTACAAATATATTATTGGGTGTGGGGTTTTAAAGTTCGAATTGGGTCACTTGGTGTCAAGTGTAGTTATGATTGTGGTTATTATTGTAAAGTGCATACATGAAGCAGAATAAAAAGTCAAAATTTCACACACCATAAAAGACAAGTTAAAACATGGGGGAATGTGTTACTATACCTTCCAAGTATCGACTATCTATAGGTGCATTGCACATCTTTTTTTTCACAACACGATTAACCAATTTACGAGGGCATGTGTATCAAAGTATGAGAGGACACTGAAAAGGAAGTACTAGAGAGATGATCTTTTTTTTTATAAATACATAAATTTACACAGAAACGGAAAAAAGGTGGAGAAAGGTTAGAGAATTGGCTAAACAAGAAAAATGATGTGATGCGCCAATCCATTCAAGACATTCAAGAGCATCTGCATTATCTGCATTATTTTAAAACAATGCATCATTGTGTTTGATCAATCTTTTACCATTTAAAGCAGAGGAAATTTTAAAGAAAATTCTGTTCTTTGTTCTGTGTAAAAATAATGCTAATACAATAATGATTTTTACAGTATTTGAGGCGTATATGAAAACAATTACGTATACTTAACCATGGTACCTCAACACATCAAGATTGTCCTACGGCTATTAATTCAAAACATTGTTACATAAAGACGTTTAGTCATTACATTATCTTGCGTCTTTAGGGGGTCCCTGCAAATACGACCTTAATTAGCGTTATGTACGTCCTGTAAATGCGATATTCTTATCCACAAACTCAAAACGCACAAGACAACACACATGATCAACGTGGGACGGGATATCTCTTTAACAATGAACCTTTTTTTTAAAAAAATTCATTCATAAAATTGTGATACACTTAGACGCATTATTGTATTCATAAAAAAAACCCTGCATATCTGAATTCCCCGAGTTGTATTCTATCAATACAATATTGTACTGTATATACAATATTGATCTACAGTATATTGATACATTAAAAATGAGAAAAAAATTTTGACTGGCATTTCAAAATACGGGTATTTGTTTACAAATAATGCACGAGGGCGTAACTTTTTTAATTGGGCAGAAAAAGGGATTTACTCTATTGTATTTTTTTGTTGGTCACATTCTGTAATAGTCAAGGTGCAGCAGATCGATTCTATAAGTAGCTTCAATGTGTTATATATCGGATTCATATCAGACATATATATATATATATCTGATATATATATATATATATATATATATCTGATATATATATATATATATATATCTGATATATATATATATATGTATCAGACATGTATATCATATTATCTATATATACCCAATACTGTACATACGTACGTACGTAAAACGCCAATTACTCAAAGCAGATGCCTCAAACGTTCAAGTAGATCAAGAGAAACCGTGTGCCCTATTAAACTAATGGTATGGATTGTTTGATATTGAGATCTTTCATCCCCCGCAAATTCTCGAAATCCGGTCATCTCCACAAATTACAACAATTTAACCTATATAAAACGATTGGCGCACGTAATCAAACCAATAATGTAAAGTTGCATTTTTTTTTTTCTGATCAATGCGAAGTGTCACAATAACCTATCACTGGAATATATATATATATATTATTATGCCAAACCAATTTTATATTGTCATTATTATATGCGGCGCAGTATCTTGTTGAATGCGATTTATCGTAATTTAGTAACCTAGTAATCTGGTAACTGATTATTGATGATCGATATATTATCACTATGTATGATTAAGTTAAATAAATCGCTTACCTTTACATGATCTGATAAAAGAAAAGAAGCTTTAAGTAAAAATTAATATGTAATTAACATTAAATAACAGGTTTTAGAGTTGTGTAAAGAGACGCCACTCAAAGGAGTACAATGTATGCCATAAACAATAAAGAAAAAAAACACCAAAGCTTTACCGATTTACAGAATATCATTAACAACTCTGACTTTGGGAATTATACCACATTTGTTAATTTTATAGGTGGGGTAATATGTTGTAAGACTTTAAACATGAACAATCGTCTTTATAGTCTTGATGGTACAGTGTTCGAAAGAACTAAAAACAAACCTTTATTTAATCAACTCTATATTTGGAAATTATTAACAAAAGGTATTTGTTATTTATCATAAATTAGTCTTTACGGTGATCAAATATTCTGGTTTATATTCCCGATGACGCACGGATCACGTTTTTTGTGGGGTGTTTCACAGAGCTTTGACAGCTATCAATTTTAATTACGCTCATCTTTTTAATTCTATGTAATTAAAAAACAGATTGAAATAGGATTTTATATATGTTCGTGACTCGCGTGTGCATCATTTTCATTTATCTCTTTATTAATTACGTACATTAATTGTTGAAATTATAAGGTCACACGGTAAAAATAGGTAAAATAAGTAAAAGTGGATAAAATGGTAAAAGTAAAAGTGGTGAAATCGGGTAAAACATGGATAATCATGGGTAAGCGTGGGTAAGCACGAATAAGCATAGGTAAGCATGGGTAAGCATGGGTAAAAATGGGTAAAAATGATTAAAAAATGGGTAAAAATAGGTAGGTACATTATTATAACAAAATAGAGTTTATTTCAAAATGACAATAGAGCATATTTCAGGCGAATTAGAAAAAAAGTCATAATTGTGAATAATCATTCTCTTCGACAACAGATTCCTTAATTTGCCTTATATCGTTAATTCGTGCATATCATGTATTACAAAGTCTTAATCGTCAGCCGAGTATTGAGCATTTCGATTATTGTGCAACAAACAAATCATTAGAATTGACAAGGCTTTTGACGCGCGTATTAATTGCTAATCTTTGGTGTTACTGCCTTGTTGGTAAACGGGTAAAGAAAACAAACATTTACGTCAATGAACAATTCATACATCATTTCCTGTTTTCTTTTGTTTGTTACGTTGTTTATACACAAACATTTTGAAGGCCAATAATTTCTCTAGATAAAAATTGATAATTAATCAAGGAGTCGAATTGTCGAATTGTTTGTCGATCCGGCGCAGCATTGAATCCTGCAGTCATGGTGAATCATGTATGCAATGCATTCCCGAAACGAACAATTAACTAAATTTAGCGTTTATCTATATACAATAAAAGTTTTTGTTGATTCGTTTTCATTATTTATTCTTTTCACTTTTTTCGTTTGATTTCCTCGTTTTATTTCTCGTTTTATTTCCTCGGTTTATTTCTTTGTCGGATTACCTCTTTTGATTTTCTCATTTTCCTTTTTCATTTTATTTTCTCAATTTATTTTTCTGTTCTCGTTTGATCATAAATTAATTTCTAAGTAATGTTCAGAGTTATGTATTCTCTCTATCAATTGGAATGCACAATTATATAGCATATCAGTATCTGTTAGTCTTTGTGCATACATCATACTTATTTATATTTAACTACTTGTTTTCATAAGTATCTCTCTATGTTAAACTTGTCTTGTGATATGTGATCACGCGTAGGCACGTATACCATCTACTTGAAAAGGTCTTTGTACAATTCATGTGATTAATGTATTAATACTGCGTAATTAGGCAGGCAATCAAAGCATGAAACGCAAATTAGAAAATATACCCACGAATCCTTTTTTTTCGATCTTTATTAACTAGTCGCAAATCTTTCTTAATTGGTTTATATTAGACGCATTGGATAATATGGTATGATCTGTTAAAGTTAAGATTCTCATTACAATTGTTCACAATTTCTTTTAGTCTTAATTAAATTAATTCGAGCTTTGGATTTCTTTATTACCAGGTCGTCTAGTGATGATTTTTTATTCTTCGATTACGCGAATATGTGTAATTATAACCCATTTATTTTATTTATATGCCTATATTTTCTATATGTTAAAAAGTTGAGGTCAAAGCGGATTTCTCGTATCCTAAAGAAGAAATAACTAATCAAAAAAGTAATAATTGATCTATTTATTCTAATTTTCACTAATTTATTTTTTTATATGGTAATGTGGTGTTCATGGGAGACCTGTGATATCAAATTATATCAAATTCAATGGTGGGGTAAAAATTCTCTTTTTTTTTTTTTTTTTTTTTTTTTTTTTATGATTTTAATGGATTTAATGCACATTCAATTTACAGGAATAAATCTATTGTGTCTATTGTACTCCGAACTTTGTGTATATGTTCAGCTATTGTTTTTATTGTACTACGTGTATAAAAAAAAACACTATCGTTTCACATGCATATTATATAAAATAAACTTTTGATTAGTATACATTTTAATGTTAAGAAAGGTGTGTGCTTTTTGTGTTCATATTTTACAGTACTGAACTGATGTTCGTAAAGAAAGTCGTTGTTATTCTACTAGACCATATATAAAAAAAAAATTTTTTCAATGCTTGCATATTTTATTTAAACCACTGTTTTTTTTTTCTTTCTCAGTTATCAACCATTTTAAATTTAAAGGCGACTTCTTCCGTTTCTAGCCAAAACGACGAACACGCTAAAGACATTTCTTTTTTCACGCCGCTTTTTGGGTGTCTACTCGAGTGTTCATTTTGACGAGGAATTTCAATACTTCCACTTTCTGACCAATTTCCTTTTAGCTTCCTTTTTTCTCTTCTCCTACGAGTATTTTCCTTGCCAAAATTTTTAACGAATTAGGAGTCGCATTGTCAGACATATTGGTCTACGAAAAAAATCTCTCCTTATATTGAACGTCTTTTATTGTTAAAAGTCACAAACATGTATTCAAATAGCAATGAAAAAAAGGTAATGCGATATGTTTACCTCATATGTTTTATATCTTTATTGTTATATGATTTATCATTTTCAACCTTCTCTATAATTTCTAACGTTGTTAATTCTCTGTCTATTCCTCAATCTTTTTTTAATTACTTCGGTTGTTTTCGATTTTTTTTCGACTTTCCTCGATTTTATTCGATTTTTCTCGATTAGCTTCGAACCTTCTGTCCCGTTGTCCTTTTCCATGAACCAATCTGTCGACAAAATGAATATGATCTTGATTGCGTTTCTCACCCATGCCCAGGGGATGAAGAATATAATGAAATGATAAAAAACAATAAAAAACGTGTAGATGACATGCTGAGTGCAAATAGTCAATATTGGAGAATTGTAATCGAAGACTGCCGAGGTATATATTTCCCTTTATGCTTAATTTTATAATAAATAAATATTATTATTATTAACTTTTAATCCTGTAAAACTTCAATTCCATAATCTTTTTTTTAGCATATGAGAAAAATAAAATTATTATCGATCGTGACTCAATGATGGATACAACACAATCACTACCATTACCTTCATCAATGCTATCTAACTCAATTTACAGTCACCATCATCTTATTTCTCAAGACCATCAGACTGTAGATGGGGCTCTTATAAAACCACCAAAAAGACGGCGTGGAAATTTACCAAAATCCACGACAGCCCTGTTAAAGAACTGGCTGGCCCAACACAAAAAACATCCGTATCCGACTGAAGAAGAGAAATCTGCCCTCGCTAAAGAAACAAGATTAAGCTTGCAACAAATTTCAAATTGGTTCATTAACGCAAGGCGAAGGCATCTACCTCACCTGCTTGAATCCGACTTTGTCAACGGCAACCCGATGAATTCTAGGAGTAATGAGATTGATATTTATTCGTACGAAACCTCTGAGAATTCTGTTGGTAACTACTTGTTTTTTATTGTATTTTTTTATTTATTTTTTTATTTATTCTTTTTTTATAAATTATTTTCTCCTTTGCTAGAAGACAGCGCCTCGGATAACGGCAGGTTTATGAGACGTCATACTGTTAAAACATGTGCTAGAATTCAAAAAAAGGGTTCTATACAAAAACCCTATAGGAGAAAACCCTCCTTATAAGTTGATCTAATTCTCTCTCTCTCTTCTCTATCCTCTAAGATTATATATGTGTTTGGCCAACAAAAATTATATTCGAATGGATTCTATCTATGTTATCGATTTATTTTTTCTTTTCCCCCGCTCCCAATCTATTTTTTTTTGATTTCTTTTTTTTTTCGATACTAAGCTTCAAATTTTTTGTTTTTTTTGGTGCAGCATATTTTCGTTTAAACCATGCATGGGCTCATTTTTTACAATTTTTTTTTTTCCTACTTCGTTCTTTCTTTCCTTCAATGCTGCATTTCGGGTGAAATTTCTACATTACATTTTAAGGGGCTTTATACAGACTTTATACCAACCGGGTGTGTTTTTTTTTGAAATTATGTCATTTTCTTTAATTATGGAAAATATGCGTGATTTTTTATCGGTGGTTTTTTTTTTAAATACACGGTACTAAAAACCGGTTGGCTCTTGTATGTGTAAATTTATACGGATATGTGATAGTAATTGTTTATATTGTAATATTTTTTTTTCTAATCTTTCGATCGTTATTGTAACGTAACGGTCGATATATGTAAATTTTTTTTCTTCTTTTTTTTTGTTAATATTTTCTCTCTCTTCTCTCTTTTCAACTTTATATTGATTGAATTTCTTTTTATGTTTGTTTTTTTTTAAAAAAAAAAGTAAAAACAAACAAAGACAAATCACTCATTGGTATAATTATAAATCAAACAAATACTAAACAAGCCTAAACCCAAGATCACCCCCAATTTATAACAAACATCATTTTACATGCAAGTTCTTTACCGGTAGAGATTTCAACATATATAATATAAAAGATTTATTTTTTTTCACCCGAACCTGTTACATTGTAATACATTACTAATATATAAAGATTTACAATAATCGCAATGTGCTATTCATTTTTTTTGTATACATAACTTTTATACATATATATACATATTCAAAGATATAGTTTTTTTTTCATTATATATATATATATATACTGTATTATTTATCAATTAAATCCACACCACCCTTATACAATTTTACATTTCTAATACGTACTCAATATATACGACTAAAAATAAATTTCGTAATTTCTTTGTATAATTTTTCAAATATTTTTTTGGTTATATATATTGTGTATACTTGCGTATGTACGTTATATCTGGGAATTGTTTCTTTTTTCTTTTTTTAATCTATAAAATGAATAAGTTAAAAAAAAATAAATAATTTTTTTTTTCTTTCGCGTGAATTCAAATATACTTTTTTTTTTATTTAGTTATCTATTTTTCATCTAGAGTAATATTACCTATATAGTATGTATATAATAATCTACAATATATAGGAGGCCCCATAGCAAAAGGTGGTGATGAGCCAAAAAAACTTTTTTTGTAAAAACTTTATTTTTGCAAAAATTGAGTTATTTGGAACACAATATTAAAAAATTACAGAAAAAATTTTTTTGGCCCATTACCTTTTGCTGTGGGGGCCCCCATATACTGTATTTGGTAAATTATTTTTTATACCTTCTGCAGATTAAAAAACTTTTTAACCTTTGAGTAAATGTATCTTAGCTACTACTAGGCCAAATTTGATGAACTTTTTCTTATTTAAATTATAAATATGTATATAGAATTGAAACAAAAAAAAGTTTATCAAATTTGACTTGGTGATTGCTAAGATATTTTTGCTTAAAGATTTAAAAAAAATCAAACATCTATGAAAACAAATTGTACTAAAATTTTTGGGCAAAGATATTTATTTAAATTTTAATAATCTATAAAAAAGTTTATTAGATTTGATTTTGTAAAAAAAGTGTTATTTATCATTTGATTTTTTTATCAAGGGTGGTGTAAGCTAATAAATCACATGTATATTTTTATATATAATTATAATTATTAAATACAGATATTATAATAATAATTTTGTCTATAAAAATTACTCTAGAAAAAGAATATTATATTAAAAAAAAGTACAAGAAAGAATATAAACTATAACAAATTCTAAATATAGATAAATAGATTTTTAGAGCAAAAAAGAAAAGTATCTTTTTATATATTTTTTTTCTATATAAATTTAGATATTTTTGAACTTGAAAGCAAGAAAGTAATTGTGCTTGAAATATAGGCTAGGCCAAACCCAAAAATTTATTAGCCAAGCCAAGTTTGGGTCTAGTTTGGGCTTATATTTTTAGATCTAATATTTTTATAAACTGGGCTTAGATTAGGCTTAGATTTTTTAAACAAGCCTGGGAGTGGTTCAACTACACTTAGTAAAAATTTAATTTATTATAGCTATTATAGCTATAATTCCTAGAGCATCTAGTAAAAATTAGTCTAATAATTTTTTAGCCAATCCAATTAAGTTATTATTTTAGTGTAACATATAAGTGCAAAATAGTATGCAGATATATATTTTCAATTTTGATCTAAATTAAGCTTAATTTGAACCATTATTCAAAATAATATCTTGTATATTATTTCATATATGGGCACTGTTCAATAGAAAAGGGGGAAATCTGCATTTAGATTAGATCAAAAATTTTGAGAAAATCACGTTTTTGTAGATTAAAACAATACCCAGTGACAAACAATGTAGATCTATTTTTTAGAATATTATTTACATGTGCTATGTGATGTAAACAATTGTGTAATACACGTAATTTTTAATTTTTTACTATGTAAAAATTGTGTCATACCGGGTACTATATACAGTACTAGATAGTAAAGGTTATACGTAAAACTTAAAAAATTATTAAACAAACATAATATAACTTTTGATTAGAATTATATAACTAGTTATGCTTTATTTAATAAGCTAATAAAAATTTTTTAACCAAAATGTAGATTTCTCTCCTTTCTACTGAACAGCGCCCATATATGGTAATAAATTTAATAAAAATTAATATAACCTTAATATATAACTTAAAATCAGATATTAAATAGAAAACCTATCAATAAGTTCTTTTATATTTTTAAAGTTATAATTATATTGAAAAACTTCTATTACTTTCAGAAAATCATGTTCTTTAAACATAAATAATATAAATTATCTTAAAGCTTTAATAAAAAAAATTTGACTAATACTTGTATAAATTACAATTTGAGATAAAGCTACAAAAAAATAATATTTTATATATTTATACATATTTTTTATTGGATAAATATATACATCGCACTATGCGATGTGCTAATTTATCACATGTATATTTAAATTATAATTTGTAGATCTGTGTAACAACAAATTTATATATGCCAAAAAATTAATACTAGATTAGGTTAGGGTTAGGGTTAGGGGTTAGCGGTTAGAGTAGAGTTAATATATACCAAAATTTTGTGAGGAATTTTTTTTGTTAGAGCTCAAAAGACAGTTTCATAGACGGCATTTTGAGCTATTTTGAAATTTTAAAAAATTTCTTTATTTTTGTTATACAAAATTAATTTGCACGTTACACCTGATCTTCAAATTTAATTGGTCAATTTTTAAAAGGTGATGTATAAGCACATCGCAGCATGTGATGTCTAATTAAGCTCTTTTTTATTTATAAATTTTAATTTTATAAATTTTAATAAACTTTTTTAACAATCACTTGTATTAAAATTTTAAACATATTTTTTTAATAAAAACATAACTACTTTTTTATAGCTGAAAATAAGTCTCAAAGCTTCAAGTCAGTAGCTATTATTTAAAGATAGTTCTTATATACTACCTGCTAATAGCTTTAGAGTTTATTGCTCATCAAGGAGAAAAATTTGATGTGCGCTTGTGCAGTCTGCACATAAAAATTTTTTTACGCACAAAAAAAATATAATATTGTGCGCAAAGCACACATAATTTTTAATAATAATTTTAAAATAATGTGCACAATATAGTTAACCCTGTTCTGCTGTAGCAAACTTTGCGTACACTAAGTTTAAATTTTGATGTGCAATGCGCACTAAATTTTGACTCTGAATTTTTCTCTTTGTTGCTCATTGCAGATTAGCACGAAGTAGTTCTTATATGCTACTTGCTAACAAGCTCAGAGTTTATTAAGTAAAGATTATTAGTTGTTGTAGTTTACTTTTTAAAAGTATACATATTTTTTTTAGGTGTTTGTAGTTTTTTCTCTTGGTTGTCTTTATTTTTTTGCTGATTTTTCAAAATTTTCAACAAAAAATAAAAATTTAGTTTTTTCTAAAAAATTAGTATTGTTTACTTTTTAAATTCAGATAAACTTAGTAAACTACAACTATATATCATATTTATATACAAATATAATGCTACTTCACATGATTTGAATTAAGGTTTCTGGTTAAAAAGATATTCAAAGCTAGTAGATAGTTAAAAAGAATATATATATTAAGGTATAGCTTTATATTAAAAATATATAAATGTTGTATTTGTTATAAAATTTTTATTTAACTTGATATAAGTTATAATAGTGTATTTTTTTGTCTTTTTTTTATTTTTTTTATCAACCTTAAGTAGATATTACTATTTCTTAATAGAGGAGATTTTCAGCTTTGTTAGCCCATCAGGCTTTTCTCTTTGTCTTCTTTTTTTATATTTTTTTGTTTTTTTTGTCTTTTTTTTGAATTTTTTTTTTATTTTATTTGTTTTTTTTTTATATATTTGGATTTGTTTTTTAATAAATGATTTTGTATTGTAGATATAAAATTATTACTTTATTTTGCTCTTGGTGAAGAAAAAAAAATTAAAGGGATTAGCTTTTAATGGATTTGACAAAGTTGTTCAGCTTAGCAATAAGTTTGGTATACATAGTTACTTCTAGTACATTTTATCATAAATTAGAGAATATTGAGTTTGCTATTTAAAAAACACATTTGTTTAGTCATAATGATAACAATTTGTTATTAATTAAATAAAGTTTTTGTTACTTGAGCACTAGCAAAGCTATTTAAGAGTTAAAAAAAAAAAATTTATAAATTTCAAAATTCAAAAAATAAAGTTAATAGAAATAATTTTATTTTACAAATATCTTAATAGATGCCAAGTCAGTTTTTTAATAAAAC